GGCCAAGGAGGGCCTGGGCAAGCAGGTGTGGCTGGGGAGGGTGGAAGAAGCCCCCACAGCAGTGGTGGGGAGCCGGGACTGGGAGGGTGACTGAGTGTTGGGGCAAAGCAGGTACCRGGCTGTGTTGGGGCACTGCTGCCCGGGCTGCCCGTGCTGCTGGGGGCTGAGTGGCTCATGGCACGCTCCTACCTGGCAGGTGTCGATGTTGCCCTGTGGATAACCAGCACACAAGTTGTAGACGTGGACGGCCCCCGCATACCAGTCACTGCTGTTGCAGAGCTGGAGATCAATGAGATGGACCTTGGCCTCCTGTAGGATGTCACTTGATTCTTCAGCTGTGAGTAGAGAAAGAAATGAACCCCCAGGAGCTCCTTGCCACTTCTCCTCCCCTGTCTGGGGGAAATCCCTTTCCCYAGGGTGTGGCTTTGCCTCTGCAGAAGCACTGGAGCATTGTGTCTCTGCTGCCTGCCTTTGGGGAGCAGCCCTGGCCCATGTCTGCAGAGGTGTATGTCCCACAGCCTGACTTCAGCTTAGACATTTGCAGAGGGAAGCCCAAGGCCTCTCTCTAGTTTGCTGAGTTGGCTCTATTGGCAGGAGCCCCTCTTGGGAACTGACCATTTGTAGAGGTGACACCCCAGCCAGCAATCCAGCAGTTTTGCAGCTCTGAGACTCTTAGCAAGGGGTCGGCCACACAGGCCAGCTGGATGTAGGGGCTGCACTCAACAGGCTTGTTCAGTTGCAGCAAGGCAATGTCGTTACTTATATCACTTCTCTTATAGCTTTCATGACGCAGTAGCTTCTTAATCCGGCGCACTTGTGCCCCAGGGCCTGGCTGTGTCAACTGAGTAGCCCCAATCACCACCTTCATAACGCTGATTCTCCTGCAAGGCAGATGGAGAGAGGGCTGAGASGGAGCAGAGCCAGGCATTGCAGCAGCCCAGCARCTGCCAGWCCTCTGCTTGGCAAGGCAGAGAGGGAGCAGTGCTCTKGCASGTGTGAGTGCCCTTGCACGCCTTGGGCTGGGGAATGSCGAGCTGGAGGCTGCTGGGAAGCATTGGCTTTTCCTTACTTGATCTTGTCAAAGCAATGGGCTGCTGTGAGGACCCACTCAGTGCCAATGAGAGACCCTCCACACCAGTGTTTCAGGCCTGGTAACCAGGGATGCTGKATRCTGACGATCCATGGCCAGGATCCTGCCKGAGCATCTGTGCCACCCACGATGCGTGTCATGCCGTAATCATGAGGTATGTAGTCAGACACCATGGGTCGGAGGCCACARGTCCACCTGTAAGCAGAAAGTCATTTCCATGCTGTCATTTGCACCTGCTGTGGCTCAGGCTGGAGCTCAGCCCTCTGCCCTCCCCACAAGGGCTTGCACCCACAGCAGGCCAGGGAAGCCCATGGGGTGTGTGTCTGTCTGTGCCAGCACCTGGCTGCTGCCAAGGAACTGAGGAACTGCCATGGCAGGTGAGAAGCTGTGGCCCGGTTATGGGGGACAGTTGGGCCTCCTCCAGGGAAAGCCCAAAGTGTTGCCACGGCTCTTTCCCTGGGCCTGGGGCCATTTACCCGCAGGTGTTCTGYATGCTGTGTGCCAGTCCAGCCACAGCCAGCAGGATGAGGGGTCTCAGCCAATTCATGGCTGCCAGAGRCACGAGTCAGCTGCAGGCACTGAGAGCTCCTTGCAGCAGCACAGCCAGAGCCRCAGTGCCCACAGCAGCCACACTGCCCTCAGCCCTGGGGCTGATGTCACAAAGGAGTAGGTTCTGTGTTCTGGGCACTCTGGCCTGTGGCATGGGAGTCCATGGCAGGAGGAACAACTTTGAATCAAGGAGCCACAGAATAGTTTGGGTTGGAAGCGGCCTTGAAGATCATCCAGATCATCCTATTGCCATGGGCGGGGAGGAATGGCTTGAAGTGGATCTGGTTGTCCAGAGCCTCGCTCTGGTTGTCCAGAGCCGTTGTTCTTGAACACTTCAACGGATGTGGTATCCACAGGTGCTCTGGGCAACTYGTGCTAGTCCACAGGACCCTCAGAGTCAAGAATTTCTGCCTAATATAGAATCTAAACCTGCTGTCTCTCATTGTGAAGACTTTCCCTCTTGTCGTTTCTTGGGTTGACCCTAAACAATTAATTACCTGCTTTTCATAAAGTGGAAATCTGTATGTAGCCTAATTACACATTTTTGTAAACCATATTAAAGTCTTTGATTATCAGGACCTATGACAATGCAATTTATTACTCTACATGTTAATCTGTGCTCAAGTCTTGAAAAATCAGCTTATTTGCTGAATTATTCATTGCTTTATTTTATGCTTTCATTGGTATCTTGGCCGATTGTAACTTGACTTCTTTATGCACAGCAAACCAGGCAGGCATATGAYGGTCTTACACTGTTCATTAGTCTCTAATGAAGAAAATTTTCATCATGTGATTAACACTTTCCTAAAGAATGACAAACCATGTTGTTAATTTAATTTCTTGCATGCTCATTGTTCATTCACACGACATTACTGGTAACTGTGAATGTTATACTTCTAAAATGTCAATTAATACATTTTCCTCTACAGGCTTTAAAGGGTTAATTAGAGCATCTGCAAATTCACTATCCATTCCTCTCAATTATCCATTCCTCTCAACTTTCCAACTCTGACCTTGTTTTCAAAGGGTATCCTTCCTATTGCTCCACATCATGTAATTCTATGCCTGTTCAGAAAAACAGGATTGAACAACTCTGTACTGAATTAMCACAGGATTATTCATCTGCTTAAATTCAAATCTAACCTGTGTATTGCCTGAGGAACCACAGATTTGAAATGTGAAGACAAAATGTTCCTTTAGTCACCAAGGGCAATATTATCATTGAGCCCTGATTACTTGTCCTGGTTACAGAGGAAAAGACAGGTGGCGTTTCTAGCACTGTTTAATTCAATAACCCCCACTTCATTGTAGGACTGTGGTTTCAACATGAAATCTGGAGTGCTGGAAGCACAAAGATCCATGTCTTTTTGCTGGGCACATGGAAGGRGTCAGAACTGCGTGGCTGCTCAGCACTGAGATAAAGTGCCATGGACACCAAGAGCCCCATTGCAGCCACCTCAGGTGTATTTATATAAAATGAATTATTTATTATGACACATTATAGGATAAAAGATTTTAACCAGATTTATTACACAGTATAAAGTTAAAACTACTCGTAATGYATAGTACAGGATCGTATAGTGCACTATATCGAACAAATTATATTAAAGCTAGCAAAAAGAAATAACTCCAGGCTCTCTTCAAGAAGTGTTTGTTCCATGTTGGATACTCTCTTGTGGGCACTGCCTCCTTTGTGTCCTCTTTTATTGATATTGCATTTATTACAAGATTTTCAGTAAAATTGTGGTTCCTGCTTGTGGTCTTTCCTAGCATTTTGTCCATTATTTGAAGGGGCCAGGGAAGGAGGGGCAGCTTCAGTGGGGTTGACTTTTCTGTTGGATTTTAAACCACTACATCACTGCAACAAAGTAGAACAGCTGAAGACATTAAAAAGTGGTCAGGGTAAGTTAAAACCAGTTTCTTTGCAAATCTCACAAGAGATTTTCTGCAGTTTATAACATGTTACAGTCTATGCTCTTAGGACAATCCAATTGGAGCCCACTTTGGGATAAAATTTCTCTTAATGAAAATTTCTTTTGTCTTAGAAGGTATTTAAAGACCACAGAAGAACTAGACAACAAACTAAACTTRCAGGATAACTTGGACTTTCTTGGTCATTTCTGCTTTTAGCTTACTCAAGACAYACATTGCTATTTATCACATAAAAGAGCCCTGTGTGAAAACAAGAAACTGAATTTTTATATACATACACACACACATACATATATAGGCTAGTCACGTAGGATTCATTAAAAAATTTGTAAAGTCTTATGCACAGGGGAATTTGTGTTTCTGTGGGGCCCAGAAAACAACCGTAATTCTTCCCACACATTCTTTTTTTTGTCYTTACCCAAAGAGAACGTTTTGGAGGCTTCGGATCAGCAGTCAGCATTGCACTGATGCCACCCCACAGCAAATCTCACTYATCATAATCACTGCTGTCACTCAGATGCCTAAGTGTCCAGAGGAGGAATAGAAATGGGTTGACATTAAACCTAAACAAAAGCTTTGTATTTGCAAGAGCAATTAAGAGTGAAAGAAACCCTGTTCTCACTAACCATTAGAGGTGTTTTCTRTTCATCAAAGAAACATGGGTGTTTTGGGCCATGCTGGCTCATCAAYAGGCCTGGATGGTGAATCCAGCTGAGGGAGTTGGGGYTGTTTAGCCTGGAAAAAAGGAGTTTCAGGWRTGACCTCACCGCTCTCTACAGCYACCTGAGTGGAGGTTGTGGGAACGTGCGCGATGACCTCTCTTCCCCGGCAACCAGCRACAGAACAAGAGGAAATGGYGGGTATAAGTTGGACACYGGGAGAAATTTCCACACAMAGTGTGAYGAACCCTGGGAAYGGACAGCCCAGGGGCGCGGTGCGGTCAGCGCTCACTCCCTCCCTCAGCACCGCCCCTCGGTGGCGCGGAGCCGCGCATGCGCCTTGGCGGGGCCGCGCCGGGGCTGAGGGAAGTGCGCGAGCGTTTCCGGGTTGGGTGGCGGCGGCGGCACCACCGACACCGGGAGCATGTCCTGCGCCCTCGTCCCCTTCGGCCACTTCCAGGACCTGGAGCTGACCCGCGACTTCCTGTGCCCGCACCGCCGCCAGGGCAGCGCCGCGGCCGGCAGGGAGAGCGGTGAGTCCGGGGCTGCTGGGGCCCGGCGCGTGTGGCGGGGCTGTGGCCGCCCCCGAGTGGCCGCCCGGCCGCGGGACCGTCCCTGCAGATCCTGCGCTCGCTCGGTCCTGCGCTGCCACCCCCCTGCCCGCTCGCGGGTGGCYGTGTTCGCCGAGTGCTCGGCATCGCTCCTGCGGTAAAGGGTCTGTGTCTCGCTACAGCTGCCACTTCTTCACCTGCAAGGTCAGATTTTCCTGGCGTCCGGAAGTTTCAGGTGCCCAGCTGTTCTCTGGTGTCACTCCTTTCCACGTGGCGTGGAGGTGAAGCTGTTTGGCACTGACCCTGCGTGTCCCAAACTTTAAAAGTTGTAGGTTTCTTGCTGAGAGTGCAGTTGTCTGAAGACGCTCTCATAAAGACAGTACACGTTGTGTATGCAAGGTTATCTAAGAATGCAGAACGTGCTGAAATTATGCTTAAGGTTTAGCTTGGCAGCTTAAATTAAAAGACAACAAATCTTAAAGCAAGTACAGTTTGAAGTTGTGAACCAAGTTTCTGTTGTATGAGGCAGTGCACAGTGCAAGCTGAGCTGCCTGACACAGAAGCTGTGTTCTTGTGGCCAGGACAGACAGCGCAGGGGATTGAAACACTGCCATGTGTTTGTTACTGCCATAATGTGTTAACTGTGCACTGTATGTATACGTATATATAGATAATTCCCCCTATATATACAGACTATATCTAGCTGATGTTTTTTGCTTTCTGGCAGCACTAGGGAGGGAAAATGAAGAAGTTAAGGATGATGCTTGTAAAAGGACTCGCAGCTGTAGATAGATAAGAGTTTTGAGAGGAAGATATCAAGRTGCTTATTTTGAAAACTTRAAATGGCTGTGGGGGAATTAYCAGATGGGAGATAATAGGATGGWTTGTGTTGGAAGTGACCTTTAAAGTTATTCTAGTTCAACCCCCCTGCCATGAGTAGGGATACTTTCCACCWGACCAGGCTGCTCAAAGCCCCATCCAACCTACCTTTGAACACTTCTAGGGATTGGACATCCGCAATTTCTCTGAGCAATTTCTCCTAGTGCCTCATCTTCTTAGTTATTAAAAAAAAAAATCTTCCTAATATATGGTATAAATCCGTTCTTTCCCTGTTTTAAACTGTTGGCCTTTGTCCTGTAATTACAGGTTCTGTTAAAAAGAAGACACAATGGTTAAAAAATTTAAAAGTACGTTATTTGTTTAGATAGTTAATTTTGTGACTAAAACTTCTGTGTGCAAAACTTTTGGTAGAAAACAGTTTTCTGATGCTGGTGGTGCTTGTCCTTTAATAGTTCTCTGAAAAATGYGTAACAGGTTCCATATGGCTTTTTTTTGGTATCATCTGCATCTAAAGGAGGGATTCTGGAAACAGAAGGCTTGTTCGTATATCTTGAATTCTGAGTATAAAAGCGAAGGATTGGAATGTGTTYGTGTTTCTAGAAGTAYGTATGGAAAGAAATTWGTATTTTACACTTRTTTGATGGTGCATGAGAGTCATTTGTGTAAAATAGCTTGAGTGTTTTAATGGATTAGATTTATCAAATGGCAACCATAAAGAGAAAAAATCTACCAAAATGATAGAAGCAAACAAGATACATGTTCCAAAGTGTATTGCTGTTCCTTTTTAATGAGAAGCTGTATTCTGGACTATTTTTGTAGTTGCTTATTCAGTCATTGAGGCAGAAGTGAGTGWTTTTCAAAATAATGCTCATTTAGATTCATTGAAATCTTTTGGRTTTGTGCCTGTAATTTTTTTTGCTACCACAGCTGTTTTCATGGTTCAGGAAAAAGAAATGTAAATATCAGCAAGTGAGAATTCCCAAAGTGGTTTAGACTTWAGATTGTAACTTAGTGATTTTGAAGCAGAAATTGTTGGTGTATTTGTGTTTGATGAGGTCAAAGCGCTGCCACAACTTGCAGAGGTATCTTAAATTAGAAGTGACTAAATTGTGKAGTTATCGTGACTTAAAGAAGCTGGGTTTGGCTGTGTGGAACCGGAGATTGGTTCCTCATTAGGCTTTTCCTTCAATTCTGCTTTGCTGCTGCTTTGTGCTCTGACAGCTGAGCAGCCAAAGCTGCAGGGCTGTTTTGTAACTTGGGCTGCGATCTGAGTGCTGAATCCTGCAGTTACTGCCTGTCTCTTGGTCACCCACTGTCCTTGCTTGCGTTGGAAATACTTAATTCGATTTTTCATGCTCTCTTCCTTTGCTTTTTTCACCTACACACTAATCCATTCATTTCTTTTAGTAAGCAAGTGACTTGTTGCATGGCAGTCCAAAATTGCTCCCTTTTCTCTGGTATGGTTGTTGCCTACCTTGACTGTTACATTGCTCACATGTAAGAACTCTTCACTGTAAATAAAATTTAAGTGAGGAATTGTGAGAACACACAACAAAGCTCTGCTTCTTGTGCTGTGCACTGAGGAGAAACCAAGCAAGTTTTTCCTGGTTTTATTTGTTTTTTTAAGTGTGTGTTGCACTTCTATGGCACAAAGGGCCAAGGCAAATATTTTTAACTAAGCAAGATATAAATAAATGCTTTTTATCAGGGAATGCCTTGGTAAAAACTCTTCTGTTGTCAGAATGTACTGTTTTAAAACAGTTTAATAAGGTTGCATGTTTTAAAACTTGGATTTTAATCAGCTTTTATGTTTTTACTCCATGGAAAAAATAAAGACTAAGGCTAGTAAGTTCAACAGAGAAGATATTAATTTGGTTTCAAATCAAGCTTTAGTTCTAAACTTAAACTGTGTTTATTTTCATATAAACGATTATATAAATACCAGCAAACACATGTTAAAACTATAAGGATTTTTTAATTTTTTATCTGAGGACCAGCAGATACAGTAGCTTTTTTTTTAAAGCTATACTTCATTTGTATGAAAAACCTTGCTAATATTAAAGGTTGTAGTTAAGTGAAAAATGATGGCTAACTTAGGGAAATAAATGTATTAAATATTTTCATTTTAAAAAAGCAGATTGGAGTTAACAACTTATTTTAGTCACAATTTAATGTTTTAGGTGTTTAGTAGATTTTTCAAGAACTCCTGTCAGGTTTTGGATAASAAATGTTTTTGAAAAGGTGCCTCTGGGATATTCAATGTGTGGTGTTTAGGAGTTTTAGTAGAGGCTGTAGGCCTTGTCTTTTTTTGTTTCTTAGTCATRGAGCAAAGAAGTTTTTAATGCTGTTTTTCTTTGACCATATTTTGATTCTAACAGAACTAACCAAAATATTTTCTGTGAGTGTATTTGCTCCAATAAAATTTATGGTGATTAATGTAAAAGCATTTTTACAGTAAGATATTAAATGAAGAGAATTTGCTTGCTTCTGAAAATGCAAGCACTATACATTTCTAAATCTCCATGTGATACCATGATTTTAATCCAGTTTTGAAGTTAGATGTCTTTAGTTTGAGTAAAAAACTGGTAACTTATCACTTTGTATTCAACATAGTATATTTCATTTRTATAAAAATTAATCTGATTGTCAATTTCAAATTCAACTTGAAAAGGCTTATGAAAGTGTTGCATATAATAAAAATACAGGTGTAGGTAACTAAAAAAAAATCTAGATTTTTGTTCCAAGAGGACTTGATTTTTGTTTTGCCTTTCTTTGTACAGGTAAGCATTTAAACACATTTAACAAGATCATGGAAAACATCCTATCAACTACAACTTCACTTATGGGTTTTTTTTTGTAGCCCAACAGCCTGTCTTGTTTGTGCAAAGGATACACTTGTCTAGTAAACTGGGGAGAAAAAAACGGTGTCCTCCTCCTTTGACCCTTGKGTGAAGTCAGTTTTGCAGGTGCCTGTTTCCTGCTCAGTCCACTAAACACTGGTAGGGTTTGAGTGCTTGATGCTTGAGTTATGCAATCATCTGTTAAAATTGCTAATAATGTCCTGCTGAAATAATTTAAGAAATATTCACAGACTGCTTGTGCTGACCACTGATYTGCCATGAAGCAAAATAGAGCTGCTTTTTTATTGCCCATATCAGAATAACAGGTTGGGCTGGATCTTGCCTCACGTGGTTTAGGTAAATAAACCTGGTATTACAGAGTAAGCTGATTAAAGATGCTTCTTATGGAGTTGCTATATCTTTATTCTTTGGAAAAAAAAAAAAAAGGTTTGAGTGCTTTTTCATATTTTRATGAGCAGGACTAAAACAAGCATGAGAATTTAAGAGTCTGGGAAGGGTAGTGCTGCTAATGAGGCACAAATCATCTATGGAGCCTGAGCCKTGTGGTGTCTAAGTGGCTCTGAAAATTGCTGTTTTAAATGTGCAAATACTGGGAATAGGAAGTGTTTGCATCCCATTTAATTTGACATCTTGCTGTGTTGAAGAGGTTTTGGGCTGCTGCTGGCTGGATCAGAAAACAGCTGCAACAGTTAACTCTGTTATACAGCTGTCTAAAAGGCATATATGTGAACAAAAAAATCCATCTTATTTGCAAAATGTGATAGGGCTTTGCAGGCATGACAGAAATTTAGCATTCAGAAACTATTTAATGGATGTTTACCTGAAAAGAGCAGAAAATAGAGCAAGACAG